TGCGAAGGAACACAAGCGCGCACAATCGGCACGACTGCAGATACCGAAACTTCTTCACAACATAGGCTGTCCGTGTGTTCAAGAGAGCCCCTCTCGACTGGGCTGCACTGCGCAGCAAACGGTCGAATAAGGCGGCCTTCATCACTGCGAACGGCGAAGCCTTGCGGCCGAGAGCAGCAAACAACAGCAACTTCATGTCCAGGGCAGCAGGAAGTCGCCAGCAAAAGAGGCAATAAATTTTGATAACGAAAGTCCCACCAGTTCTTTGGGAAGAGAAACAAAAAACGGCGTTCCAGGTCCCACCTGTTCCAACATTCCCTCGCCTCCTCTCCCAGGAGGGGGGCCATTCCAATCCTCAAATCTGGGCGTAGCGACAGAAAGACCAATAATCTCGCCCCGTCACGGACCCTCGGGCCCTCAAGGATATGACTGGCACGCGGAGTGTGGCAGAAGGACGAGGTCGAGACCTCTGGCCACGAGGTTTCGCTTGGGAGGCAACTCATGGGAGGTCGTCGCCAGAACGATTCAGGGCTAGTAAATCTGATCAAGGGGTCACTGGGCCAAACTAGGCCGGCTTAGCCCGGGATTAAAACATGAGATTCGGCGAGATTTGGCCAGTCTTCGACCAGGGATATACCGCCGCCGATTCTGCCTCTGACCTCCCAAGAGTTGCATCCGACTCCCACAACGGTCAGACGACCCCGTGGCAAAAACGGCTAGCACCAAAGCCTTCTGGGCCGGGGCCTTCGATCGGAGGCGCCCAGGATTGGCGGCGAGCGAGAGGGGGAATTGAGAAGGAAAAGGCCTTTTCAGAAGGCTCGGAAGTCTCACCGCCTTCTGAAAAGTTGTCTGAGCCTTCCCCGATGACACAGAAAACTTCTCAGAAGGCACGAGGGCTTCTGAGAAGTCCCGCCGCTTTTTGAAAATGCCTTCTCCTTCTCATTTCCCCCCCACGCTCGCCGCCGAAAGGAGGGGGGCGTCCAAAAGGGGGACTCGCAACTCATGGCCCGAGGCACGTGCGCGGCCCCGCAGGGGGGGGCCAACGGCCTCACTGAAATGACAGGATGGGGGGGCGGCATGACATCTGGGAGGAGGATCTCATGCCCCTGGCCATGACACACACACACACACACCACGCACAACCACACACACACACACAGACAGCACACACACAGGGACACCACACACGGACTCACTCACTTACACACACAAATTCACACACACACACACCTTCACAGATCCACACATTCACACAGTCACATTAGCATTCGCAGTCACATCCTCACACACCAACACACACAACCACGCACAAACAAACACAAACACAAACGCACGCAAACACACACTCACCAACACACCACCAACACACAGAAAACGCACACACACACACACCACAACACACCAACACACGTACACACACGCACACGCACACGCACACAAACACACACACATTCACACGCCAACACCAAACCACACGCACCAACACACATTCAAACACACACGCACACAAACAGACACACACATACACACCAAGATACACACACACACACATACAAGCACACTTTTCTGGCGTCGCGGCCCCGCGAGCAGCGACAGGGCGTGGCAACACCACCAGCACACACGCACACACGCACGCACATACGCACACACACAAACACACACACACACACACACGCACACACACACACACATACACGCACACACTCGCACACGCGCACGCACCCAACCACCAAACCACGCACGGACCCACCGACCCACCTACCCACCCACCCCCCGCCCCCCCTCCCACCCACCCACCCACCAGCCAACCCGCCCCGCCCAACCACCCGCCCACCCACACACTCACACCCACACGCACACACACACACACGCAAACACGCACGCACACACGCACGCACGCACATTCACAAATCACAGACACACACGCACCCACCAACCACACGCACGCGCATGCACGCGGCACGCGCACGCGCGCACGCGCGCACGCACGCACGCACGCACACACACACACACATGCACGCACGCACGCACGCACGCACACACACACAAACACACACACACACACGCACACGCAGACGCACACGCACACGGCACACGCACACGCACACGCACCAACACACACACACACGCACACGCATACACAGACACATACATATACATATACATATTTGTATATGTATATATATACATATCTATATACACAAGTTTTATTATATATATATATATATATATATATATATATATATATATATATATAGGAGGTGGGGGGGTAGATCGAAATGGAACGGAGAGCCCCCCTACCGGGAAATCGGTTTCGGTTTCGTGTTTGTGCGTGCCGTGCGTGCGGGCGAGCCGAAGCTGCGAGGGCGGGCGATAAATAAGTCTCCTGTAGCTGATGCGCGGCTGGACCAAAAGTCTCCCTTCCGGCAACCGGTGCCCCGCGGTGTCCCGCCGGTGTCCCGCTCGGGGGTCGGTGGCGCGCGGTATCCTGCCGGTGTCCCGCCGGTGTCCCGTCGGTGTCCCGATGATGATGATGATGATGATGTTGATGATGTTGACGATGATAATGATGATGGTGATGGTGGTACTGATGATGTCCGATGATGGTGATGATGATGTTGACCGTGTTGATGATGATGATGATAATGGTGATGGTGAAGATGATGATGATGCCCCGATGATGATGCTGATGGTGATGTTATTGATGATGATGATGGTGCCCCATTGGTGATGATGTTGATGATCATGTTGGCGTTGATGATGATCATATGCTTTGATGATGATGGTGCCCCGATGATGATGATGAGGTTGATGATGATGCTGTGGATGATGATGATGGTGTCCCGATGATGATGATCATGATGACGATGACGGTGTCCCAATGATGATGATGCTGATGCTGCTGGTGATGATGATGATGAAGTGATGAAGATGATTTTGATGATGGTTGCCCAATGGTGGTGCTGATGCCGATGTTGATGATGATGGTGTCCCGGTGATGTTGATGATGATGGTGATGATGATGGTGACGATGACGATGGTGTTCCGATGATGAGGATGATGTGGATGATGATGATGTCGATAATGATGATGGTGATGGTGCCCCGATGATGATGTTGATGTTGTTGTTCATGATCAGGATGATGAGATGATGATGACGATGGTGTTCCGATGATGATGACGATGGTGTCCCAATGCTGATGCGGTTGATGATTATGATGGTGGTGACGATGATGGTTTCCGGGTGATGACGACGGGGTGGTGATAGTGATGATGATGGTGGTGAGGTGATGATGATGCCGATGGTGTCCCGATGAAGTTCAGGATGCTGCTGATGCTGATGTTGATGACCACGAAGCTGATGATGGCAATGATGGCGTTGATTGTGATATCGATTGTGATATCGACAGTGAGATCGATAGGTAGACCGAATGTGAGATCGATTGTGAGATCGATAAGGAGATCGATAGTGAGATTGATTGTGACATCGATAGTCAGATCAAGTGTGAGATCGATCGATAAAACAAATCGAGCGACATCGATTGCGAGATCGATCGGGTGAAATCGTTCGAGCGAGACCGATTGTGAGATCGATAGTGAGATCGATAGTGAGACCGGTCGAGCGAGACGCCCCCCCCCCCCCCCCCCGAACCTCCTCATCACCCGAAGAGTGGTCGAATAGGTGTGTATATATATACATATATATATATACATATATATATATATACATATATATATATATATTATCATACGCACCTCTCCGAGGGAGTAGAGCTCAGAGGCGATTAATGCGCACGTCGTTCGCGATTTTTCTGGCCGTCTCGCTCGGGACATCCTCGAAATTCTGAAAATCGATGGCACCCCTCACGCAGATCGTGACGCCAGGGTCCAACAAAACATATGGGAATTTCAACATTTTAACATAAAACCTTCAAAAACACATGGTAATCTCAATAATTGTGACCCCGATTCTCAGAGAATGGCGGTTTCGCCTGAGACATCCTCCCAACATCGAGCCCCAGACCCCTCCTCGGAGCCTCCTGGGGGCCTCCTGGAACCTCCTGGGGCCTCCTGGGGCTTTCTGGACCTTCTGGTACCCCAGACCCCGCCTCGGAGCCCCCTGGAGTTCTCCTGGGCCTGATGAGGCCGCCTGGGGCCTCCTGGGGCTTCAGAACTACATGCGCACACAGAGACACAAATCACGCCCAACACATCACACGCTAGACAAACATAACATACACACACAACACCGACAACACACAAAAAAACACGCACCACACAAAGCACACATCACACACACAACACTCACAATCCTGGGGCCTCCTGGAGCCTCTTCTGGTATCCAAGTCGGGCCTCCTGAGGCTTCCTGGGGGGCCCTTGTACACGCATCGCAAGGTGTGGCAACCCCATTTGCGCTCGAGTGCGACTTCGCTGTTGCAGGTCACTCCTGCTTCAAACGCCCCTTCAGCTTGTTGTATGAGCCTGGGCACACACGTGCCGCTTGTATATATCGGACCCCTCGGAGGCAGCGGCTCGCATGGCCTGGGGCGCCAGGGTGCCGCTGGGATCGGGCTACGCCCGACCGAAGACAAACCAAGCTGTTACATACTGGCAAAGAACATCCACGATCGCAACTCTTAGCGCGCGCTGGATCCTGCGAGTCTCAAAATAGCTTCCATGGTTCGATCGTCTGTTCCCGAGTGGCGCCTCTTGAGACTGGATGGAGCGGGAACGCTGCGCGCCGTCGCTGTCGACGGTGGGGCAAAAGGGTCTCTGCAAGGCCTCCTTGCGGGGCGTTCGCATTCGGCGCGGGTGGAGGGGCGGGGGCGGTCGAGAGGGGGCACAGGGCTGGGGGGGCAAACAGGCGGGCGCGCAGAAATGCACTCTCGCTCGGATGCGTCTCAGACGGCGGCGCCACCTGATCACTCACTAAGTTTCGATCTGCTATCGTTCGGGCATGTGCCATCAGCGCAGCTGTCTTGATTGGGCAGGGAACTCCGCCCGAATGAGATTATGTAGATGCTCTCTGTGCTGCAGGCCACCGCAAGGTAGGGTCTCCCATGCCCAGAGCGTCGGTAGAGGCCATCTGTGATGAGGTCGGTTGCAATCGTGGGCGGCTCGCGCCTACGGAATCTGCTGTAGATGATGTCTGCGATGGCGGTAGACCCAGTCGGGGGCTACCCATGCCCTGAGAGCCGGTTGTCGCCATCTGCGGTGTAGGCGAACTCAGTGGGCAACCCGTGCCCTTAGAGGCTGTAGATGCAATCTGCAGCGTCGGCGAACGCAGGGTGCGCAGGTCCCCCAGGCCCAAAGCAACTGCCGGTGTTGGAGGCGGCGATATAGGAGGGGCGCCCGTGCCCACGCCCATATTCGACGGGATGCGTGCAGAGCTCCACCGCGCACAGCTGCGTCGCGCCCAACATAAACGACTGATCGCGTCGTTTAGCCCCTCATCCCGTCGTCCACCTTCGTCAGCTGTGCGTGGTGGACGCGCCCCGCGTGCGTCGCCAGTCCTTGTACTATCTTGTAGGCCGCGCCCGTCTGGGGGGATGTGTCGTGGATCACCGAGAAATCTGCGTGCCACCTGAATGCTGCGCTGGTTCAGGTCATGCATGTCGCTGTCTTTCACCAGAGGAGCGAGCTTGGTGGTGGTCGCGACGTCAAACTGCTGCACATTGTCGCGGTGTGGTTTGATGTTCTGCTGATGGAGACCGTTGACGGCTGCGCCTTCATTGCCGTGGCCCTCGATGAGACCTGCGGCGTTGCCGATGGTTCCTCTCTTGGCCAGCTCGGCGTCGATCTGCGCCAGCGATGCGGCGCCGCGAAGATCCTCGTCTTGACGTGCCCAAGCTTGGATGCGGATCGGGTTGGCCTCGGTCTGTCACTGTCTCTTCGCGACGTTCAGCAGCCGCCCCACGGCGATGGGAATCAGGCGTTGCGAGTCCTGCGGGCCCATCTCTACGAGCAGCGGGAAGTCCATGTCGATATGCTTGTTGTTCCTCGCACCATTATGCCGCGCCCCCCGTGGCCCGTCTCGGCGACAGCTATGCCTCGCGCGCGCGGCGCCACGCGCCTCTGCGCTCGCGGGCTCGCCGTCGGCCGGCAGCAAGCCCACGCAGGACATGGGGGCGGGGCATCGGCGGGCGAGCGTCGGAGATGCGAGCCTGGAGGTCAGGGCGGGTAGAAAATGACAGCTCGCAGTCCTCGCTCAGGTAAAACAGCTGCACGGAGTCGTTCGCATCGAAGTTGTAGACTGAGCTCTGCTTCTGGCATCGCCCCGATCGATAGGCAGCTGCTAGGCGGTTTATCGCTCTCTCGGCTCGCGAACGCCGATCGGCAATTTGGGCATTGGCTCGTGATCGTGAATCTCGTGCGTGCACGTATCCGTCCGTGCTCTCCTTCCTCCCCACTCATAGTTTGATGTGCCCGAAGCGCTTGTTTCGCTTTCGCTGCGAACAGGCGTATCGCACCGTCTTCGCACAAGGGTCCGCGCGTGTGGCGGGGCCAGGGATCGCCGGTCTCTGGCTGCGCTGTGCGCGGCAGGGATGGCTGCTCCAGCCGCCATCTTCGTAGACGCCCAATCGTGAGCTTGATGCGCGCGTCACGTCCAGGCGTCGGTCGGAAAATGTCGAATAGGTCATCGCCAATCACGCCAAGGCAGGCGCGCCCATCCGCAAAGACCTGCAATATCTTCATAGATTCGTGAAACTGGCGTCGCCACGGGTTGCCCACGCGCGCAGGTCGCGCAGGTCCCGCGGGTGCCCGAGCGAACTCGACCGTGGCAGTCTCGCACTGCAGCTTGCCGAATACGCTCGCTAGTAGCTGGGCGCGGTGATCAGGTAAAAAGGGCCCCTCGTTGCCAACGTTCCAGGCGAAGTGGATGAGGGCCAAATGAGGGTGGAACCATCTTCAGCCTTTTCCAAGCCCCGATGGACGCGATGGTTCGGATGACCTCCCCAGTGCCGTTCTCGGCGTTGTCGTCCGCTGCCTGCTTGATGTAGGCAGTGCCTTGTAATTGGGCTCGAGCGCAACGGGCAGCGCATGCGCCCGGTCGGGCAAGTTGCGGCGCGGTAAGGACCCATGCTTCAAGCCCAGAAAGTGCAGCAGAGAGTACCTAGCATCGAAAAACCATATTCCATCGCCCCATGTACCTGCACGTGGTCAAGAAGCACCCCATGCTGCGCCATCCACGAGCAGTGGCGACGCAGCGTGCATTGAGCCCACCGTTGTTGAGGCCATTGGCTCTCATCACGGAGCCGAGAAAGGTCGCGGCATGATTCGCTACGCCGTCGATCTTGATCCTGCTGTAGTGTAGTGAACGCGCGTGGCGGTGTGCCCCCCTGCCAATGAAGGCGGGTGGGACAGCTTTCTTCCCTTCGTTCTGCTGGGGGGCGATCTCGTGGAGCTCATTGCTGAGGATACTGTCGGAGCACTGCCTCTTGCACGCTGATAACTCGGCGTCGGGGCACAGGTGGGCCCTCGAAAGGTCATCGGCGCATTTGCGCACGCTGAGGTCGACGTGCGAGTTGGCGAACTCGCAGCCTGCAACCAGGGGCGCAATGGCGTCGGTGTTCAGCGACTCATTCCAGGCCGCAATCGGCCGCCCATGCAGCAACCCGCTGTGTTCTGAGATCCTTGTGTGTCTATGCCGTCCGTGATAACACGCGCAGCTCGTATGCGTCGCCCCTTCATTATGGCGCAATCGCCAGGCGTGTAGACGGCGCCAACTGCTGCGTCGAGGTGGCGACGGTCGACCGGGGCGAAAACGTTCGTCATATCGCGTCTGGCGGCGACGCGGCGAAGTCGCGATTGTTGTAGTCTCCACCGCAGAGCAAGCCTGGCTGAAATGGCAGCCGATCTAAGAGTGCGCCCGTACATAGCCGCGCTCATCGTCGTCGGTCGACGCGGTCGTTCGCGCCTGTCTGAATGCGACCCAGGCTTTGCCGGAAAGGCATAGCCCGTGGAGAAGTCGCGCACCTCGTGTGCGCGTTTTGTTGTTCGTCTTGCTCACCTGGCACGTCTGCGATAGATTCCACCGCGCATTGAGTCGCTGATGTTGGCGGACAGCTGCAAGTTGCGTGAGGATAGCGTCGCGCAGTATTGGCCCAGGGAAACGCTGGTCGGGATCAGGTGCTCGCGCGTCGTCATCGCTGCGATCGACCAGGAGCAGCGCCCATATCTAGGCTGAAAGTGACCACTCAGGCGCTGCGAGTCGTCGCATGCAGCGCCGTCGTCGCTGGAGTTGGGTCGCTCGAACAATACTCAGCGTGTCGCCATTGGTGTGCTGTGGGGCAGAACGAATTGTCCTGGCCGGCAGCGGTCTGGATGAACTGCGCGATGTTGACTGGGTGGGCTTCCACGCCGCCGTCAGCGCCAGGTAGGTCCATGTCCTCGCCCACGTCGTAATGGACGGTCTTGATTCATGGAGTTCGAAGTAGCACCGCTTGCCTGGGCCTTTGCCGTTGCCAGCCAGCTGTCTGCGCGCCTACTATATTTCAGCTCCACGTCCCGCTTCATCTGCACGTTGGAGCTCATGAAATATCCGTGCGTCGCGGTGCTCACGCATGCGTCGGCGCAAGCGCTTGCAATCAGCGCTGCAACGTCGTAGTAGAAGGGTGTGCTCGAGGTCGTCGACGCGACGCACGCGTGCAAGCGTCCGCGCACGCAGTGCTGCTCGCAGTTGTGCGGTCAGGTGCTCGAGCCCGTGGTCGGTCGTAGTTTGGGAGCTCTCGAAGTACTGTAAGGCACGCGCTCGGATAATGGCGAGCAGTCGTTGCCATCCGCCTTCCATGGTGCGACGCTCGGCCCAGTCAACCATGTCGCGAAAACCTAGCTCGTTGAAGTGTTTGGCAAGGTCCGTCTCGATGTCGCCCCGTAGTTGCTGCGCCCATGCTTGGTGTTGTGCACGGTGTGTTGCGAGGAAGATGCGGGTGTAGCCCCGCCACTGCGCCGTCTTCGGCTTGTCGAGTGTGAGGGCGCAATAACGTCTACGCACAGCATCGCGTGGTCGAGGAGGCGCGGGGGTGGATAGGCGCTCGATCGTTTTGTGAGTCGACATGTGATGTTGTGCCTGCGTACTCGCGGAAGGTATCGTATAGGCATGACCAGGCATGCCGATGTAATCGACGTGGCTGGTGCGCCCCCGCCATCCGTGGTAGGTCGGTCCGCGGGGATGATGAGTATTGGTGGCGCAGAGCGCGTAGTGAATCATGAGCATGTGGAATGCGTCACCAACATACTCTGCTCTTCTCCTCGTGCGTGCAGTCCGACCGTTGCATCGTCTTCGCCATGGTGTCGTAGGCTGTCTTTACACTCAGCGCCGATGATCACATGTGCGATTCGGCATGGAGGAGAGGATGTCGTGTAAATACGCTATGATAAGGTCAACAATGACATCGTTATTCGCGGAAGTGGCGCCTTTCTGAATTCTCGGCGGGAAGTATGCGGCACTGGACGTGTAGTCAAATCGTGAACTGTTGACCCTGAGAGCGCGAATGCGACCTCGGAGTCCCTCTGGTGGTTGCCAGACCTTGACTGTGTGATTTCTGCGGAACCGTCGCCGATTGAGCCATATCTCGGTACCACAAGACATGTTCGCAGTAGAGTTGCGTATCCTGTTGTCCCAGCCGAATTTTATCTTCAGAAACTCATTGGTGGCGCGGGTCTCGTAAGCTGTCATAGTCTTTGACTGAGTGCTTGCCATGCTAAGTGCATCGATCGGGTGTAACTCCCGAGAGATCTCGAAACGTTTGTCATAATTCTGAAGAGACATCGGGTTCCATGATACGAGACGCATGCACGATGCCAGTGTGTAACAGAGAAGCCCGAACATCAATTGAGTTGGCATATTCGTCCCCGCTCGGGGGGCCGCAGAACTCTCGAGCCGGAGCTACACACACACATATATATATACACACGCACCCACGCACACACACACACACACAAACACACGCACACGTACACACACACACACGCACACACACACGCAAGCACGAACACA